GTCGTGTGTTTATGTATGATGCTAAGTAAGTACAATGCAATTAGTTATTTAGTGATGTATGGAACAAAACTCAATGAAAAAGAAAGAAACTTATAGTGCAAGAAAAAACATGATATTTTTTTTGTTTTTGTTTTTGATTGTATGATGGGTATGAATAGAAGAGTTGATGCAAATACGTATTTTTTTTATTATGAAGGATAAATATGTGAGGATAAAATAAGCAAGATAGTAAGATTTATTCAATGTCTAAGCTCTGATATCAAATAATGCGGAACCTATAATCAACTAGTGTAATCAAAAACCCCAACATACAATTTAGCTCAAAAAGTTAATCGCTAAACAAAACTTCTCTACTTAACTCACACTCAACCTGTAAATGAAAATTAAAGTAATTGGAATAAGTAAATTGATTAAAACGCCACGAGAAAATCTTGAAAGTTAAAATCAACTCAAAAAAAAATTGATAAAAATACAAATTATCTTGATAAGTAGATTTCAATTCTCCACTCAACAAGAAGGTTGAAAAGACCTCGCTAAAGAGCAATTTAGTAAGTGGCTAACTAAAACTAAAAGCTTAATTTTATTGATTTCAAACTTCGATATATTTACAACCTAAGGAGTAAGCCCATTATATAGGTATAAGTCTAACTAGTTACACTTGAATTCAAAAACTAAATACTAAAATAACTCTAATTATATTCTTATCTAAAAAATTATTAAAATAATAATTTAAAAAAGTATAAATATAATTAAATAAAAAATATTCTCTCTTGAAGAATGGTGGTGTTGTAGCTGAATTTCCCATGTTATCTTGAACTTAATTTTGGTGTTCAAGATTTAATTAACTCTTGTTGTAGAAAATACAGTTGAAGCTGATTTAAAAGACTTCCCAATTGTAGAAGAAATCTAACATTCTAAATGAAAAAATTAAGGATCGGAATACAGCTAGGAATAGGAATTCTTCCTCCTTTGGGTTTCCTTCCTCTTTTGTGATTCCAACTCTCTTTAATTAATTAATTTCTTGAAGTAGAAAATCTTCTTGGACTTTAAAATGCCAATCTGACTCTAACATCCATGTTGTCGCAATTCCTAATCCGAAAAGGACTCTTAAAAAACAATAATTAGATTCTTTAAGCTTGATTCCCGTGAGTTGCCCCCATTTTACTCGTATCATTTCCCCCTTCTTCAAAACGATTTGTTCTCGAATCGGTATATTCTCATGTAGTGGCTTAACCCACTCCGCTTTCTTAGAATTCTGCAAGAAATGTTAGAAAATAACACTCTCTCATGTATTTCACTCTTGTGTTTCACTCACTCTCAATCTTCTTCCCTCAAGTTGAATACTAGAATTGAATTCTCTTGAATCAAGTTAATCAAACTTTGTTTAGGACACTTCGAAGAATCTTTAGGAAAGAAAATTGTGACACAATTCTGATGCGATAAAATTTAAACACACGGATGAAAATGTTGTGTTTATGTACGATGCTAAGTAATTATGATGCAATTAGTTACTTAGTGATACACTAACACAAAACTCAATGAAAAAGAAAGAATTTTATAGTATAAGAAAGATACTATGAATATGCTATTTTTTTGTTTTTATTTTTGATTGTATGATGGGTATGAATAAAATGGTGGATGCAAAGTACTTTTTTTATTATGAAGGATAAATATGCAAAATAGTAAGATCTATTTAAAACCTAAGCTCTAATACTAAATGATGCAGAACCCATGATCAATTAATGTGATCAAAAACTCCAATATGCAATTTAGCTCAAAAACTTAATCCCCAAAACAAATCCTCCCTACTTAACCTAAACTAAACTTGTAAATGCAAACTAAAGTAATTGGGATAAATGAATTGATTAAAACACAACGAGAAAAAATCTTGATAAGTTCAAATCAACTCAAGAAAGAAATTGATAAAAACGCCACAAGAAGCAGATACCAATTCCCCACTCAACAAGAAAGTTGAAGAAACCTCCCTAAATAGCAATTTAGCAAGCGGCTAATCAACCCCAAAACTTAATTTATTGATGTCAAACTTTGATGTTTTTACAACGTAAGAAATAAGGCCTTTATATAGGCATAAGCCTTACTACTTCTACTTAAATTAAAAAACTAAATTTTAAATTAATTCTAATTACATTTTTATTTAGAAAACTATTAAAATAATAATTTAAAGAAAAGCATAAACATAATAAAATAAAAAGTCCTATCTCTTGAAGAATGGTGGTGTTGTGGCCGAATTCCTCATGTAGTCTTGGACTTGATTTTGGTCTTCAATATTTAGTTAATTATTGCTGTAGAAATAGAATTGAAGATCATTTAAAAGGCATCCCAAATGTAGTAGAAATCCAACATTATCAATGAGAAAATTAATGATACGGATTCAGCTAGGAATAGGAATTCTTCCTCCTTTGGGTTTCTTTCCTCTTTTATGATTCTACTTTTAAATTAATTAATTTCTTGAAGTAGAAAATCTCCTTGGACTCTAGAAAGCTAATCCGACTCCAATATCTATGTTTCCGCAATTTCTAGTCCTAAAAGGACTCTTGAATAGATAAAAAATGAATTCTTTAAGATTGATTTCTGTGAATTGTCCCCTTCCCCATTTGCTCATATCAAATGGACTTCCAAGGACGTCAGTGAGTCACAGATCTTCATGCTAAGGCATCCCATCCCTCCCGTTCACTCCCATAGATACTGCTTATCGCCCCCTACTGCAAAGAGTTTGGTTCACACATAAACCGTCAAAATCAGGCCAATAAGATGCATTCTTTGATCTTAAATTCCCAACCCCCACACCCCCTTAATTCTAGGATTGACAGTAAATCTCTCATCTCACCAGTTGATCACTACTCTCTTCTCCTTCACCTACCCATAGGAATTTCTTCATGTGTCTGTCTAGTATCTCGCCTTATAGAAATCCTAAAGAAGGAAAGAAAATAAACAGGTTCGCTTGTAAGACAAGCATGGATAAAGGTGACCCTTCCATATAGCGAAAAAAGCCCCCCCCCTACCAACTCTCCAAATGCTTCCCTACCTTATTTAGCACCCTTTCCCAAAAGGTCCACTCCTCGGATTGCCACCTGAAAGAACCCCTAAACGGGAAATTGGCCATGGTAGCTCGGTGCATCCTATTGACTTAAAAAGTTGGTCAATCACTTCATACTCAATGTTGATTCCACTAATGTCACTCTTAGCCAAGTTAATTTTCAGTTCTGAAATCTTTTCAAACAACTAGATAAGAGTTAGTGGACCTATTGTCGTGCTCGAAAAATAAGATTGTGCCATCAGCTAATTGTAAATGAGAGACTTCAAACACTATCCTTTCCTACTTTAATGCCTTTCACAATCCCCCTTTCAGTTGCCCTATTCAGTATCCTACTTAACACATCAACCACCAAGATAAACAAAAATGGTGAGATCGGATCTCATTGTCTTAACCCTCTTTAGGATGTGAACAAATCATGTAGCTTTCCATTCACTACTGCAAAGGAAACAAATGAAAGACATCCTAAAATCCATCTTCTCCACCTTTCTCCAAATTCTTTACGCTCCATTACTCTATCGAGGAACATCCAGTTCACTCTATCATATGCTTTTTCAAAGTCTAATTTGAGAACCAACCCCTTTTCTTGTTTTCTTCAAGTAAATTCCACCACCTCATTCATGACTATGGCTCCATCTAGGATTTTTCTACCTCCAACAAAGCACTCAGCAAGAATTCACTAAGCCTTTGAGAGCAAACTTTGATGATAATCTTGTATGCACTTGTCACTAAACTAATTGGATGATACTCAGAGCCTTAATAAACTTGTCCTTTTTTAGCACTAAGGTAATGAAAGTTCAGTATCATACTCTTATATATACTCACATTAAGATAAAATTCTTCAAACACTTTAGACATATCTCTTTTTTGTTTTAATAAAAAGTGAAGTATATATTAACATGGTACCAAGAAAGGGGTATATCTCATTTACAAAAATTTTACAATAGTGTTAACGTATTTATGATATTTCCAAAATTCTCATCAATAATAATATCATGACCTAACGAAATAAGTCCAAAATAGGAAATTCACCTATCCTTTATTTTGTACTATTACTCTCAACATCCTTAAAGGCTCTAGTATTCCTTTCTTTCCATATGATTCAAAAAACAGTCAAAGGAATTAGATTAGCAATGTTGCCGTTTACATACAAACCATCCCAAGCCCAATTTCCCTTATTAACCAACCCAACCATCAACCATTCAATCCCCAAGAGTCCATACACCATACACCATAAACTGTAAGTCATAGGACACCACGACAATACATGATTATACGTCTCCTCTGCTTGTAGACAGCCATAGCACCCATTAACCAAAATCTGTCCCCTTTTTCGGAGTTTGTCAATGGTTAAAATCTTCTCAAGAGATGACTCCCAAATGAAAAAAAAAGCTAAACGCGGAGGAGCCTTTGTTTTCCAAATTTGCAAAGCTGGGAAATCAGAACTGCGGTTTTTATCCCGATTACATAAAAATCTGTAATAAGAGGAAACAGAAAACTCCCCTCTCACTTTAGACGTATCTCTTTTAATGATGTGCTAGCAGTTTTTAGATAATCTTATTTTTTATAAAATAAGCATTTCTGAAAAGATGTATCTTCATTAAAAACAAAAGAAAAAAAACAAACATACTTGGAAAATATTCAATATAAAAGAATAATAACTCGCAAACTATACAAAGGATCCCCCTGAGATAAACATGAACTTTTAGCCAACATATAAAAGGAAATCCCTGACAAATACATGAACTCTTGCCCACAAAGATGCAGATAACACCATTCTATACTAAAGAAGCTTGTAAACAGTCCAACTATTTCCAAAATAAGAGATCAAGATATTAAATTTAGAAACAAAAATGTATTAGAAAGAAAAAGAATCATACAGCTTGCAATACAGCGGTTGTTGTAGATGTCGACAATCGACGTTGACTAGGACCACCAAGTTTTCCTCTAATAGAATTAGGTAAAGTTGTGTCTTCCACTGCAAGAGTTAAGTGGAAAATAGAGGAAGACAAATTGGCAAAAGAGACCAGCTCCTCCTGCACACCCCCTCCCCAAAAAAATGAAAGAAAAAGAGTTCAGAAAAAGCAAAAAGTTAGAAGAACAGTAATGCGAATATTTTCACTTGTACGATGTGTATGAGTACCAAGATAGAAAATAGAACATTTGCAAACTTCTGGCAAATAAAGGAATGCGTCATTGTCCCAGCAAAGCAAATATCTGATTTGTTTTTATTTTTGACGCCAAATTCTGCAGTTGCCTCCAGAATTATTTGGATCTCCAGAACCAAACTCATCAATAAGATCAAAAATTTCACAGGTAATCTCTCCAAATGACTGTTTTCTTTGCAGATATTTAGACCATGATGTTTAATAAACTGCACATGAAATCAAAGATAATCAGACTACAAAAGATCAGACATAATATAAATAGTACATGCAAATAATGATTTCTAAGAGTATACTTTTGTTTTCCAACATCTAGATAGTCAAGAAACATTTCTATAAGAAGGAAATATTTATTAGAAAGAGAAAAATACAGGAGGGAAGGATAAATATCAGCACAATCATATGTAAGGTAGAGAAAAAGATCCCACAAAGTAACAAACAAATTTAGAAAAATAATGAAAACATAAAATCAGTATATCAGCATAGTATATATGTAAGGTAGAGAAAAGGATCCCACAAAGTAACAATTAGCTTTTACCCACAATGAAGATAAAACACCACCCTAGCCTCAAACGAACCATGGTGGCTGGAAATGTTTTTTTAATAAATGATGGCCAGAAATACTGCTGGAATAACATGCATTAGGTTCCATCGACAATCTAAAAACCAGCAAAAAGAAGCTCCTCTCGACAAAGCATTCCTCTCATTGCTCCTCCCTCTTCCTTGAAGATGGATAGGAATGAAAACACTAAGGTAGCAAAGAGACCATTCCATATCTATTTTTATACTTTATATGGTAAATAACTTCACCATACTCACATATTCTTCCATGAGAAAAATAGGTTAATAATGCTCTTAAACTAGAAATAAGGTAGCAATTAAAGATCTCCACTCGGCTTTCAAAAACCTATAGCAGAAAGCTTCTCGTAGCAGTAACCCAGCAGGAAATTCTTTATTAAAATTAAAGCAAGGACCATTTAGCTGTCATTCTTCAAGGTAAAGCTGGCTAAGGTGTTTAACCGCCTACAGGTAAGAAAAAGGACCAAGACCCTCTCTTCAAGTGGTAGAAGACTTGTACCTATAAGTATCACTCTGGGATTCATAAACTCTAGCTAGACTCATGGCTGTTGTCAAATCCGTTGATTGATGTAATTCCACTTCAATTGCAATATAATCTTGAAGCCAACTGATAAAAATGTCAACCTCTTGATCTAGATTGAGAGAACTTTCTCTTTCTGCCAATTATTCAACTGCCTTTTCATCCTCTTCTAACAAATCATGTTGCCTTGATTTTACCAAATCTCCCAGCTTCCACTGCGATATAATCTTGAAGCCAACTTAGTAAAATGTCAACCTCTTGATCTAGATTGAGAGAACTTGCTCTTGCTGCAAATTATTCAAACTGCCTTTTCATACTCCAAGAAATCATGTTGTCTTAAATTTACTAGTTCTCCCAGCTTCAACTGCAATATAATCTTGAAGCTAATTTAGAAAAAGGTCAAACTCTTGATCTAGATTGAGAGAACTTGTTCTTTCTGCCAATTATTCAAATTGCCTTTTCATATTCATCCGACAAATCATGTTGTCTTAACTTCATCAATTCTCCCTGCTTAAGCTCCTAAGCAGTTGTTCAAATAGCAGTTCCTGGGTCCTTTTCTAACTTTAAAAACCATACTTGTTCTTCTCCACCCAAATGGAAAGAAGCCAACCCAAGTTTCTCATTTTCAGATATATTCTGGTGACAGAAAGAAGGGCTGCATGCCAGTTACACATCCAATGGTTCCACTGTACCATCTATCATGAAATTTTCAATTTGGAATTTTTGGGAGCAAAAAGTTTAGCACCATGATTCTCAGCCCTGTGGTCTCTCCTTTCAAATCGTTCCCCTTTCGTAATTCCTTTTCCCGTTTCACCACTGCCTCCTCGTCAAACAGTGGAGAGAAGCTGCACGGCAAACTTCCATGCATCCTTTCAATACCAACTGTTGGACAGCAAATGCAGCCTGCTCTTGCACCATCCGAGATGAAAAACGCATCCCCTATCAATTCGAGGAAAATATCAAATTGTGGCTGGAATTATTGCAGATTGCCCATAACCATCTGCTCTGAAACCAAGCTGTTATGGTCCTTACTCAGTTCTTGTTGTGGGTCTATTAACAGTTAAGCCATAAACTAAAGAAGCAAAATACTTCCTACATCATCTACCCTTCTTGCCTATTTTGAATAATTTTTGTGGACTTAGATAGAATCTAACCATTTCTTTAAGTAAGAAAAAAGTACTTGAAAACTTTCTGCAATTATCTTCTGCATATTTTATTCATTCCAGAACAGCCTTTATGGCTAACTAGAAAAAGACAACTGCTTGTAACTGCTCCTAAAGAATAGAAAGCCCGACAAGATGAACATAGAACATAGATTAGCAACAACTCCCTCATATAACTGAAAAGAAGAAACTAGGAAACAGCCAAATAAAACAGATAGTCTCAATCAAATTTCCACAATTAAATTTGAAATAAAACTTAAGATAAAAGATAAGACTAGAAGAATTTGTCTGTATGGTTATTAAGTACCGCCTAGGAGCATAACACTAGATGTTCATCAAACAAATCCCTTCACTGGTTCAGATCTAGAACAAAATAAGATGCATTTGACAGATAAGAACCAATTGGAATAGAACAATAATACCAACCATGAAAATAGGATCCAGATGTTGTTCCTCCTTTATATAAGGAAAAAGCACCCGTGCCCATCTTCTTGTTTGAAATTCCCATGCCTGTAAGTCTTCGTCATCAAAAGTCTCAACCATATAATGACGATTGATAAACCTTTTTGGAAAGTCATGCAGACCCCTCAAAATACACATTTTATCATCACAACTATCACTACTGTGTCTCCTCGTACACCCTGAAAACCATTCTCTTAGGCTTACACATAAGGGACCTAGAATGGTGGAGAAAACGGGAAGAGAGAGTAAGAGAGATTGCACACAAGACATAAGTGACAAATGCAAAACACAAATGAATATAGATGTCTCTGCCAGCGTGTATCTTGTGCTCACCATTGTAATCTGTAAATTCCTGTGGAAATGCTGAAAGGAAGTGCAACAGTACTTCAAGAGGTACATCACAAACATGCACTACCGAAGAAGCTGCCTCCAATAATTTCTGGCAGACTGGCAATGCCATAAGAAAGGTATGAAAATAGGTATTTCCTTAGTTATGTTACACCAAATGATCCACAATAATATGATAAGACAACCAACTCAAACAAGAGTAGTGATTGCAGACCTTGAAGACGGTAATTAGGATTGAAATGCTGTTTGCTGCTCTCAACGATAAATCTCAAAACATCCAATAAGTTTGTTTTATTATCGTGTGCACCAGTTTCTGCAGGGGACTCAACTTGGGACTTATCAGGAAAAACATCACTGGGCCCTTTTGTTTCATCTTCACTGTGAGTTCCAACTCCACATGCAGATGAGGTAATGCATTCTGCAAGGCACATTAATCCAGCTCTACCAAATGACTGCTGCTTAGCAAGAGATGCCAAATTGATCAAGAAAACAACCTGCTGCCTGTATACATATCAAGAACTTAAAAATCACAACTACAACAAGTATATATCAATATTTAAAAAAAAAAGTGTGAATAGGTATATAACAAGGTATCAAAAGGGGATACCACCCATATATAAAAGATTTACAAGTATACATCAATATGAAGGAGAAGAAACAGAAAACAACACCTCCACAAACATGAGAGTAATGCAGATGAAAAAGCTAAGTATTTCACTTCTAAATGACACTAAGTGACAAACTTAAAGATCATCTGAAATATGAAAACAGTTTTTTCAATAAAACTACTTACTTCAATTATTCTGGCTGAAAATCAATAGCATAGGGCAAATTCATCAATAGATGGGACTTTTGATACACAGGAATAACCAACAAAGCAGGATCAGAAAAATAGAATGTCTTAGATGTTTTTTAATGAAAAAATAATTGTTATCTATAGAGAGAAAAAAAATAGTACAAGTGAAGAGAATCAGACATCCTCAAGAAACATATAAAAATAAACGGAGAAGAAAAACAAGCAAAAAAACTCAATATAAAGTAGCACCCAATCCCTTGATAACATGGTCAAAGAGACATCTCTAAAACACCATGAGCTTTGGCCAATAAAGAAGCCAAGAAAGTGATTCTGCACAAAGAATAGAAGGAAGGAAGTAGCAGATTGTTGGTTAATTTCTTTTGCTCGTTTGGAAGAGCAAGCTTTCAGCCTCGCTGAGTCTATTGAAGACCAATGAAGGAAGAAAGGAAGGGAGAAGTTGTTTTCTGTGAGCACTAAAAGGAAATGTGCAGATAGAATAAGCATAGGGAATTTCAAAGGGTCTGATGATTGTTCAAAGAAGACAGGAAGACAACGAGAGCAAGGAATGATGGCCATAAGATCTCTCAGAACAAATATTAGAATGTGAATGGCTTTAACAATTTGCATAGAGAAGCAATGACCAAGACTACACTCAAGAAATGGAAATGCCAAGTGATCTCACCTTTAGGACACTAATTTGGAGTCACTGGATTCACTTGCCAGTAGCCTATGCAGGCATAGTCAGGTTGATTACAACGATCTAAAGATCACTGGCTCTTCAAGTGATGTGATGACCTTATCGGATTAGTCAATGTTCAACTTGTTATCATGGAAGGGCACTCTCCTTTAAAAATAAAAAACAAAATAAAATAAAAACATATTTTAACTTGTTTATCTAGTGTACATCCTAAAGCAAGATAGTTAGAAAACTAGAACCAATTCACTGCTGTTTTCTTTAAGGGCATTCGGACGTGCATCACTTGATGGCATATAACTATCAAGAATCCGTTTTCTCCTATAGCCTTCTAAGAGAAAACGAGAAGATGAAGCTTGGGGTGAAACTAAGTGATGGTTTGAACCAACTGAATCAAAATAATAAGGCTCACGGCCAACCGGTGAGATTATGGGGGATAAGCTTCATTGTAGAGGGGGAAACAATCTGGATAACAAATTAAGCCCCTAAATGAGCGCACATGATCACCCTTTTTATGCATTATGACATGGCTTGGAGATTATGGGCCCCTTATTCAACACTTTGACAATTCTTAGGCCACTCCTCTTCATATGGAGGACTTCATTTCTATACTGTCTATGGTGTTAGTGGGAAACAGAATTTATGCATTTACTGCATGGAGTCCTTTTCTATGGTTTGCAGGTGATGTGATTAGAAGAAAGGGCTACAATTTATATGGATATTTTCTCTCCTTTCTCCTTCTTATGAAATAAGTGTGTTTTCAAGCACCTCTTTGGGCTAGGGTGCATGGTTGTTTTAATATTATGTTTTTTTTTAAATATATTAAATATTATGTTTTATCGACTTTATAGATAGATTGTCTGACTATTCTTGAGTTTGGTTGGTTTTTATCCTTTATTTTTCTGTTTATATCCTTTTTGGAGGATATATACAGGAGTCTAGCTTATTGGAGTAAGGTTCCACTCCATTTCAATTTGAGAACATACAGATGCATCATGATCTTTCGGGAGCGTTTGAATTTGGTCGACAGAGTATAACCTAGTGGAATTGGGTTAGCGTTTAAAATTCATGAAGAAGTTGCATTTCATTACGGCAAGTTAAAGAGTTGGAATAACGACCTTTTCCGTCTTATTAGAAGTAAAAAGCACGCTATGCCCGATTTTCTTCATTCTCGATAAGTTGGCAGTGGATAATAATATTAAAAGGACCAATATTAGGATATCTTCCCTCAAGAACAAATATAAATAAGTGCTCGTTAAAGAAGAGATTTGCTGGGGACGGAAAAACAAGATGGAGTGGGTCAAAGAAGGTCATGCCAATTCCAAATGTTTTCATTAAATAATCAATGGTAAGACAAAGGCAGAGCTTTTTATGGAGTAAAAGTTGGAAGGGGCAAAAATGGAGAGAATAAGAGATGATTAGGTTAGCTATCAGTGATTTCTATAAGGATTTATGCGGCTGAAATGTTTAAGCCGTCCTTGTTTGAGAGGCATGATTGTTCCAATCAGTGTGGAAAGGGCCAAGTGGATCAAATATCATTTGAAGAAGTCGAAATTGAGAGAGTGCTTTAACCCATATGGTTTTACTATTGCTTTCTCTTAATCGTGTCGGGAGATTATCAAAAAAATGGTCAATTAAGGATTTTGAAAGAGTTTTACCTTAATGGAAAAAAGGCATTAGTATGAACTCTACCTTTATTACTTTGATGCTTAAAAAATGGCCATTCTATTAAGTCACATTTCAACTTGCTACGGGCTTGCACTCCTTAGTGCCCTTGAATATATTTTAATGCAGGATAAACTAGGATTAATTTGCCTGCTAAGAAATTAGAAAAAAACCTAAATATCACACCTAACATTCTTAAGCATCATATTTAAAAGTTAATGGAGTCACACAATCAATTATGAGAAATTCTCAAAAATATTATTGAATACTGAAATGATCAATAAGCAAACTTACATAACTATTTATAATAATATCTTAATTAACTTTTTGTAACTAGAATTAAACTGGTAAATAGTAACCTAGTAGAATTAAGATTACTAATGCTAATGCAAATAAGAAATATACTAATAAGAATAAACTTTTGACTCTAGTAAGATTCTTAAATAATAAATTGAAAATAATCCAACAACAAATAAA